GAACTTTTATTAGGTCCGGTGTAAGGACATAGAAGAACGTCAGGTCGGAGGCAAAATCCCGTCAAAAAACTCGGTATTTGCTCGGTATTACTAGGTATTATTTGATAATAACGATGAATACCGCTCTGTGAAGATCAATACCCAGTTATACCGAGCAATACCGAGTTTTTTCTAGGAAAAACTCGGTACAACTTTTGTATAACTCGGTATTGCTCGGTATAGCTCGGTATAACTCGGTATTGGGTCTTCACGTGATGGTATTCCTCGGTATTGTTTGGTATTGCTCGGTATTTGCTCGGTATTTCTCATTTTTTGGCACGATTTGGCCTCTGACCGGACGCTCCTCTACATCCGGTCGGAGGACGTAATAATTGTTCATCTTCCAGACTCACAAAACCAATTATTTCTTTATAATGTATAATATTTTAAATTCTTAATTTATATTTTAATATTTTAATTTATTATTTATTTAAATATTCTTCTTTTAACTACCATTGATGAACAGGCCTATTCAACGCTGAAGTCAACGCCACGTTTTTTTTTTTTTGGAAAATTTTTAAAATAAAAAAATTTATATCAATATATCTTAATGTAATTAATTTATATATAAATGGACTTCAAATTTTTTAAATTTATAATGAGATGATATGTCTCCTAACAATTATATATAGTACTAATCTCAATACAAATGCAAAGATTATTAAGTCAATTTAACCTAAAATATGATAGTACATTCCAACATTTTTTTCATCTATGAGATGTGATGTGGAATTATTAAAATTTTGAATTTTATTATTTTTTATTAGTGTGATAAAAAATTAAAACCTTATTTTTTTTACAAGTATTTAAGTTTCATTTGGGATGACTTTTTTGTTGCTTTGCTTTATAGATCTTAGGCTTCATTTGGGATGGCTTCTTTGCTGCTTTCTAAAATAGCTTTCTTGTACAAAAATTTCTTATTCAATAAAATTTTGTACTAGAATGCTACTTTAGAAAGAAGAAAGAAAATTATCTCAAACAAAGTCTTAATCACAATTTTTATTTAACCATTGCTTTTGTGTTGCTTTTAAAAACTTATATTAAAAAACTGCTTTCTACAACAGCTTTTAAAAGCTAATTTCTCTGCAATAATTTATAAAGCAATAAGAAAGCCGTCCCAAACAAGATGAGATGTTGAAAGGCAATAAATTATTTGATGAAAAGCATGACTGAATCAACAAAATTATGAATAGTTTTATCAAAGAATGAGAGAGTAGAACTATGTATGAGCTTGTCTCTTAAGAATTGCGGGGAAGACCTATCAAAGGATTGATGAGAAGCTTGCTAAATGTGCATGATGTTTTATAAGTAGTGACCAATATGTTTATATGAGTCAAAGGTTTCATCATATAAATTAATTGTAGATAATTTCAATTCCACTAGAATATGATTTTTTTAAAAAACTTCAATCAAAGGCAAAGACTTTTCCATTGTTTCATTGACCTTAAAGAGAATTTCACCTAAACAAAGTGCTATGGCTCATCACTTATAATATCAAGAGAGACATTAATAAGATGTTGATTTAAGTCCTCTATGGATAATGAAGGATTATGAGTTAATCGAACCATACAAAAAAGATGGATTAAAATTGAAGTATCTAAGAGAACTTGTTGAGAATACAGTGAAGGCAAAGCTATATCATTACAATGAGTTGATGAGAAAGTACTACATGGGTAGCATCAAATGGATCAGCCTTAAATTATTGTTGTTTTTATGGTGGGACAATTCAATTCTACTATGATAGTACAATTCAATTCAATTCTACAATTCGATTCAATGAGTTGATGAGAAAGTACTACAGGTGATTGTGTTATATGTTACTAGTCAGACCATTATGGTTGCAATTGTTGATTATGATAGTGATTGTCGGCAGTGATCATCAGAAAATGCAATAGCGTTCTTAAGATCTCTTAGCTCTACAATCAATCTCACATAAGAAATGAGATTCTATTTATAGCTTTTTGAATGGAATATTTTGATAAATTTATCTAGTATAAAAAAAAAACTCCATCGAACAATTTATGTTGATCATGTTGATCTTATATTGTTTATTCAGTATTTGATCACCTTAATGATCTCAAAATTGAATGATGCTAGGCTCATTAGATTCGTCTAGTCGATCTGCTTCATTTGACTACAAACATGCAATATTTAAGATCATTTGGTTCTCCAGTTCATATTCAAAAAAATTTCTAATTATGTTTAAAATGCACTATTTGAGCACATTTGGAGTCGAGTCGGATCACTTATGATGTCCAAAGATTAGCCTCATTCACAAGTTCTGTTTTAATATAAGTTCGCTAGAATCTAAGCTCAGATGACTATGAATTCAATTTTAAAAGTTTTTAATAATTCATGCATATCAAATAATTTTTTTGAAGTAATATAAATTAAAATTAATATTTAATTATCTTTAAATAATGCATAATTATAGGATAATCTTCTTAAAATTTAGTGACCTAGCATTTATCTGCTTTTGAAAGTCAAAAACCACAGACTTCAGCTTTCTAATAATATGATAGGTCACAAAGGAAAGCTTCATGATAGCTAGCTAGCTGTTTACGACATGAAGCTGTCTTGTGATAATTATTTTGAAAAGGCAACGACGAAGAGATTATGAAAAGTTAAAACTGTTCGGTCGTATTATTGAGCTGTATACGATTTCTTGAGTTATCTTATGAATACTCTCTACAAATATCAAATTTCCAAACCTTTGACAGCTTCTTTTTTTTTTTTTTAATTCCATCAGCTAATGAAAACAAGGACATAAAATTAAATGTTAGGGGCCGAAATCATATCAGAAATCAAAAGTCTAAAAATGATGGAAACCGGGGATAGTGACTGTGGTGGTTGGCGACACGTGGTGTCGATGGCGGCTGGTGGAGATGGCCGATGGATGGCAGCGGCGAGGATGTCCAATGGGTGGCGGCAACGGCGATGGTGGCCGGTCGGTGGTGGAGGCGTCCCGCGAAGGGTGAGGTTGGCTTGTGATGATGGGTGGCAATGGTGGCTGATAACATGCTGTGTATGGTGGTCGGCGAGTCATGGCGATCAGTGAGCTTATTTATGGTGTACCTAATAAATGAACTAAAATAATTTACACTATATTTACTTTATTATTTTATTTTGCATTTCTTTTTATCAAATCAAACACTAATATTTTCAAAACATCTGCATTTGAAATACTGCACACCCATTTTAATTTTAACCAAATAACCCTTAGTTTAACAAACTTTTTTCTTCGATAATAATGCATTTGTTGTTTTTCTTATTTTCACTATAACATCCTATAGATTTTATCATCATCATTAATAACAACAATATCAAATCTTTATTCTGTTATGTGAGATTTTCTACATGAATTTTTTTCTTCATTTGTATGCTATTTAGAGTCAAATTTTTATCTAAATATAATAAAAATTTTACTTTTACTATTTTCATCATTTAAGAATTTTCATAATTATTATTAAATTTAAAGGGAACTTTTTTGCACTTAAGAAAATCTGAAAATGCAAAAGCAAAATGAAAAAGTAAAAAACATTATAAAATTTATTAGATAAATAAAATAAAATAAAAATTATTGCGAATGCACATGAAGGTGGGACCCATTGTGAAATGTGCTTGGAATAAAAAATATAGTTATTTTTCGGTTCAGAGTAAAATAAAACGAAAATTGGACTCAGCAAAGAAAAATAATTGATTATTTATTTATATTTGTATTTTTTTAATTTTCTTGGGGGGGAAGGTGGAAGGATAAATGGGAGACAAAGGCCCAAGTCCGCCGCAGAGCTCCAGATCTTAACATCCACTGTGAATAGCAGGTTCACGAGGACGAATCGACGAAGTTAGCTTGGATAGAGAGAGCGTGAGAGAGAGAGGCGATAGTGGAAAGCGCGCGCGCTCGCGCTAGAGCGAGAGAGAGAGATTATAGAAAGAGTTGAAGATTTTGGCGTTCAATCAGTAATCTGCTACTTGTATGTCTATCTGTGTCGGCCTTGTTGATGAATACTTGATGGGTGTTAGGAAGCTATGAAAGATTTTTTTTTTCAGGTTAATTTTTGGCGATTCATCGAATTTTGGGAAACTGGTCATCTGTTATGATCGATCTTATTCAAGGAGATTAAGTGGACCTTCAGCGCTGGTAGATTCGCGCCGTTTTGGAGTAATCGCGAGATCTATTTAGTAAAATTTAAGCTTGAAGGTTGCTTCCCCTTGTTTTCTAGAATTTGTTTTAGCGTTCGATTTTTTCTCTTTGGGTTTTTTTTGGGTTCGATTGTTTGTGTGTAGTTCTTACGTTTGATCATTATGGCTTATAAGATCCCCCTTTTGGCTGTCCAAACCGTGATAGGTTGGGTCGGTGGTTTTTCTTGATATAGGATTTGATTCTCTGAGATTTATCCATTCCTTTTTGCTTGTAATTTTTGTGGATCCGTAAATTTTTTCTGGATTCGCTTCTTACAGCACAACGATCTTTTTTTTTTTCCTGCTCTGGATCCTTTTTGGATTCATTCATAATCCAATCTACATACTGAACAAGCTTTTCAATGTTTTTCCAGATAGGTCGAAGAGCGTATTTGGAGCAAAAGAACGGAGATTAGGATTGGATACGCAAATCTGAGTTTTCTCTTTGCCGGGTGTCCATAGGGATGCTGGAAGGCCATTCCTGGTTAATTTCGAGGGCCTTACCAAGCTCCTGTGAGCAAGAATCCAAGCTAGCATATATGACCAATCATCTTTTGGACAGAACCAGGAACAGAAAATCTCTTGATATTCTACCTGGAGATCCAGTTGAGGTTGTTAACAAGGATTGGGGAAGGCGGATCAAGACTGTAAAATTTTCTGATTCATCTAAATGTAATCCTGATTACCTTGATTCAAATAACCTCATCAGCCCAATTGGACGAGATAATTCAATTAGCTGCTTGATGCGGTGTTCTCGCTCTGATTATGGTGTCCTTGCCTCTCTTAACAGTGGTTTTCGCTCTCTGATCAGAAGTGGAGAACTCTATCGGCTTCGTCGACTGAATGCGATCACAGAGCATTGGATATACTTCTCATGTAACGTGAATGAGTGGGAATCCTATGATCCATATTGTGCCCGGTGGATTAGTTTACCCAGAATGACCCATAACGAGTGCTTTATGTGCACGGACAAAGAGTCCCTTGCTGTCGGTACCGATCTCCTTGTATTTGGGAAGGAAGAAATTGCCCACATTGTGCGGAGATATAGCATCCTTACAAACTCATGGTCGCATGGTGTTACAATGAAATCTCCTCGGTGCTTATTTGGATCTGCAAGCGTTGGAGAGAAGGCCATTGTTGCAGGTGGAATTGATGCCCATTGTACTCTATTAAGCTCCGCAGAGCTTTACAATTCTGAGACACAAACTTGGACAACTCTGCCAAGCATGAACTTACCAAGGAAGATGTGTTCAGGTGTATTTATGGATAAGAAGTTTTATGTTATTGGAGGAATGGCTAGTAATACCGAATTGCTTACTTGTGGAGAGGAGTTTGATCTTGAGAAAGGCACATGGAGGCTTATTCCTAATATGTCATTGGGCTTGAATGGAGCTCGTGGTGCACCTCCGCTTGTCGCGGTGGTTAACGATGAGCTTTATGCTGCACATTACTTGCATCAAGAAGTGAGGAAGTATGATAAGCAAAATAACATTTGGATCACCTTGGGGAGGCTTCCTAGGCCGGTGTCGAAGAATGGGTGGGGACTTGCATTCAGGGCATGTGGTGAACAACTTGTAGTCATATGTGGTCCAAGGACATTGGGTGGAGGGGTGATTGAGCTCCATTCATGGATTCCTAAGGAGGGGCAGCCACCAGTGTGGAATATGATTGCTAGAAAGCAATCCGGGAGCTTTGTTTATAATTGTGCTGTGATGGGTTGCTGATTTGTTGGGTGTTTTTAATGCAAATTACACATCTGTTCTATGGAGCGGAAAGCTGGCATATACAGGGCACCAAATACTGATTCTTGGCGATTGTTGATGCCTGGCTATTTGGAATTCCTGATTGTACTTGTGAACTCTTTTCCTCAGTGTAACTTCTGAACTTCATTGATTACTTTTGGAGTTTTTTTTATCATTCCTCACATTGAATTGGGGCTTAAAGAAACTAATCTTCTACCCCATTTTCTCTTAGGGTAGGTATTTTAGAGGTCTTGGGATCCTTTAGTTCAGTGCTGATCAATAATACAATGTGGTTTATCCTCTCTTTAACTATTTGCGTTTTTTTTTCAAAATAAGTATCCTTACCCTATTTATGTTGTTTTTCATCTTTAGGAAAAATCTAAGAGACCAATCCATGTACCTTGAATATTTTGCTGGTTGAGCAACTTTGGTGTGCATATGCCTTTTGTACTTTTTTTTTATGTATATATGTTTAATGTGCCTAGAGCCCTTTAGAGCTCACAAATTTGAGCCATTAAATTACTATCTTCAAAACCCACCTGGTATGCCTTTTTTTTTTTTCAATTTATATAAATTCAATATAGCTAATCTATACTTGTTAGTTTACTGTTTGGTCTTTTTCACTTTTATCTGTAGAATGTATTATCAAGTGCGCGTGTTCAGAGGCCCTTCTTTAGTATGGAATGTATTGATTTCGATTGTTCTTTAATCATCATGGAAGTTGCGGTTTGTATTTGCAAAGTAAATTTAGTACTGGTTTGTAAAATGCTTCGTTTGCTCAGCATTATAAATATTAAAAGTTTCTTGCCAGCAGGAAGCATTAGAATCTGATTCTAATTTTTTAAAACAAGAAAAAAGCTCAACAAATTTGTTAGAAAACAATCTCTTTTTTTCCTCTCCTTTTTTGTGGTGCATGTCAGGGCTAAGAGCATCTCCAACTGAGAATCCCATTTTTAACTCTAAAATGCTGTAGAACTTCAAAATATGACCGTTCATCTTCAATGGAACTCCATTTTGCTTTTTTCGCCATTTCTTTGCGAAGTTAATCATCTCTGTTCTGTTTCGTGCGCTTCCTGTGAATCTAAACAGAATGCGAATGTAATCATTTTTTTAATTATTATGGTTTGCTTGTTATTAATCTCTGACAGGGACTAATTGTACTGAAACTTAATAGTTATTAGAAATACATCTTCCCAAAAAATTAGAAATACATGAACGAGTTGCTTCCTTTGTTGTGCTTAATTTTTCTATGCTGTATATCAAATTTTGATTGTTATAAATTAAGTAAAGTTCCCCAAAAATCTGTAAAGCATCTGCTTTTTGAGTATGGTGGTGAGTTAAATGCCTTCTTCACTGTTTCCAAGCCTTGAACTGTTGGTTGACTGCTGCAGTGCCAGCTTGTTGACTGTTTAAGAGTGGCCAACTTCAGGAGTCTGCAGATAGCTTTTACTTGCCTTATCCCCTTTATTTCTCTCTTTTTGCCTTTTTATAGAAATTTGTTAAAGTAGAAATAATCTTTATTCTTTTCTCATATCTAAGGTACATTAGTACACAACTCTCCTTGGCCTATTGGTTGTGAGTTTAGGCTTCCAACTAAGAGGTTCAAGGTTCGAGTCATGTGTATGCGTTGTGTGTGTGAGTTTGCCTTAAATGGCCTAAATGTCCCAAAAAAAAATAAAGGTACATTAGTACATACACAAAGTTATAAGGTAGGATGATAACCAATAAAAAAAATTATAAAATATATGCATGAAATGAGTGGAGTCTTCAGAGTTTGTTTCATTTTGTGTAGTGCTAAGAACAGCAGATTACTTATGGAAACTGATGCGAGCTGCTATTTTATTCCTTCTAAAGGCATCTTCAATCGAAAATCTCATTTTCACTTCAAAATACAGTGAAATTAAAAAATGTTGTGATTCATCTCCAATCGAACTTCATTTTGTGGGCTTCTGCGAAGGTAACCGTCTTTCTCCTCTTTGACGCGTTTCTTTGGAAAATCCAGTTGAGACAGAAAAATCGCATAGGTGAACAGTGCAGCATTAATATTGATGTCACACTGTTCACCCACAAACAAATAACAGAAGATTTGATGTTCGGTTGGAGATAACCTAAACAGGCAGTTTTTTACAATAAAAAAATTTCAGAAAACAGACGTCCAATTGAAGATTGTTAGTGAAGAGGATCATTATTTGTTTCAAAGAAAAAGGTAACAAAATATTGTTGCAATTTCATGTAGAACAAGGATTATTAAAGATAGTTGAAATTGAAAAAAAATAGAAATAATAGAATTGGAGGGAAGGGTGATAATCAAGCCAGCGAGAGCACAAGGACTCGAGCAAACTAGCTTGTGCTTTTTTATTTATAATAGAAATATATAATTTTTTTTGGAATGATGAGCGTCGAGCGATATATTTTGCTAAGTATTTTGTTGGAATCAGTGACTTTAGAGATACAATTATCTCATTTATGCATGGGTCATAGGTACTTAAATCTATTTTATGTATTATTTTTATGTTTTTAATTATTACGGGAGTACTTTGGATGGTAATAGATAGAGGTGTCAATTCGGGTCAACAGGTCGGGTTCGGGTCGAACCCGAAATTGCACTGTTCGGGTCAACTTGAATCCGACCTGATTCGGGTCTGGGTTAACCCGACCCGATACGAATGACCCGAAGTTAATCTAAAATTGCTAGCTTTCGGGTAAAAAAATTGGGTCAATATTTGATTTTTGGGTCAAAATCAGGTCAATCTCGAGTTTTCGAGTCAAATAGGAGTCTTCGTGTCAATTTCGGGTTGCTGGGTCAACTTGAACCGATTTTTAAAACGGGTTGATTTGTTAAACCCGAACCGACCCTTTTCGGGTCCGGGTTGACCCTAACTCGAATTTTTCAGGATCGGGTTCGAGTCGTGTTTCGGGTTGTGTCAAAAATTGACACCCCTAGTAATAGATGGCTTCTCATTTCTTGATGATATTTACAAAACTCACAAGTATTTTGAACGATAATATTATGAGATTTCAGCACATAACGTAGTTTTGAGGCCCCAAAAAGGCAAAGCCAAACAAGTAAAGAATATCTTAAACAATTAAAGCTGGTTCATGTAAGCTCCAAGTAGTATTCATGATAGAATGGTCAAATAGATAGGAAATGGACTCCATGACAATATGCATTATAAATAAAGGGAAAGGGGGCATAAAATGAATTGAAAAAACCCCATATGTAGCCCATTAGTACATAAGGAGTAAAGACCATCCTCAATGCAAGCTTGTACCTAATCATTGATAATGGGGCAAACTTCATTTATCTCATCCTAGAGATTAAAACATCATTGAAGACTTTGTTATTATCAAGTTTAATGCAAAAACAATCCTCCTCTGATTTTTTATGGAATTCCTCTAATATTTGATCGGTAAAATGATATTATCTGTGTGAATTCTTTTTTGAAGAAAATCAACTTGGCTAAGGTGAATGATCATGGGCATAATCAATTTCAGCCTTGTAGCTTGAATATTTGTAAATGCTTTTGTAAAAAAGTATTGTAAAGAGAGATGAATATGAAATTAGAGTGCAACTAGTATGAAAGACCATTGGAATGAAAACTACTCTAGTAGCTTTGGCTTTCTTTGAAAGTTTTTACTACTATTGAAGTGCCTAACATCAGAGCATTTATGATTGTCAGTAACATCCCAAGGGTTAGAATAAAAGTCAAAGGTATAACCATTAGGATAAAATATAATCGATTTGGAGACATAGGACAAAAAGACCTAATTTCATTGTTATAAATGGGTGCAATAAGTCTAGCAATGATAATATGTGGGATGGTTTCGTCAAGTGGAGAAATGGAGGTTGCTCTTAATGTGTTATTGGAGGAGCTAAAGAATTGTTTGAAGTGGAAGATGGCGGCATGAAGAAATATTAAATTGTGCAATTAAGGGCTAATATAGGTAGTAATTTCTTCAATGTTGTTGTCATTCTTCCTTCATTAATATTTCTGTAGAGAAAGCATAGTAATCCATTTTTATTTCGATCTCTAAATAATCGATGAAGCCCTTAAGAAATATAAATCCACAAGAGATTCACTTAGATCTTTATTAGTGGTGTTGAGTAGGGGGGTTTTGGGGATCAAAGTTGAGAAATTGGATATCTATGATTTATCAATTTTAAATATCTTTAATGTGGTTTTTGAGGTAGTTTGCTCATCTTTGAGCTTTAATGAGAAGTCTTAGTTGTTTGAGTTTTTGGTGTAGAGAAAAGATAGGGTCACCTATACATGAGAGGACCAAGCTAGGTGGAGGACATCCTTATAGATAGGGAATTTTGTTTAATGATTTTTAAAATATATATATGTTTTTAGCAATTTAAGGAAGGTGGGTGCGTATGATGAGAGGGGGATGGCCAATTCATTTAAGGGTTTTTTTTTTTTTTTGGAACTTTTGAGTCAATTAATGACAAATTTATAGGCACATTACATATATGCAAGTTTCGAATATGATGCCTCTTGGTTTGTCACCATAGCTCTCAATCAACACATCAAGATGAGCTGTGAAGTAGAATAAGGGAAAGAGATCTAATCAAGCTTCATTAACCTAACCTTTTTCTAGTTTGATTTGAATTGGATTATCAATTTTAATATTAAATCAAATATTTGTAAATCTAATGTAGACTAAGGCTTCGTTTGAGATGATTTTCTTACTGCTTCTTAAAGCTTCTAGAACAAAAATTAAAATTTTCTACTAGAAAGCTGCTTAAAAAAGCAGTAAAAAAACCGTCCCAACCGAAGCTTAAATTTCACTTCTATAAATTTTCTTGTGAGAGTATATATATATATATATAGTTTTGAATGAAATTTTTTTAAGACTTATTTATTCCACCAATTGAGCAATAGTTAAGAGGTTGGAGGACTTTTTTTTTGTAATGATTTGAGCTTAAACACATAACTAATAAAATTGATCTTTATATATTTATAATGATTGCTTTTGGATCCCTCTATGCTGGGAGAAATTATTACGTGCGGAGTCCGGACTACAATGAAAATAAGCTACATCGCCAATACACAAGGTGTATTGGGTATTGGAGATGTGGTCACCTTTTATTGAAGTTTGGACGCTAGCTTCGTCCGAACTCTACATGACTACATGTAATAATTTCTCCTGTGTTGGGACCTTGCTTCTCACCTTAAAGTGTGTTTTAAAGATAAAAGTTTATTTTAATTTATTTTTCACATAATAAATACCATAGTTAAATTTAAAATTTTCAAATACTAATCCAAACAAATTAGTATATGCAATGCGACTTTTAACATAACACG